TTTTGTGGCTGTTGGATAGACTTATAGAAAGTGAGAGAGAGAGAGTGGGTGCAGGAAGAGCCACGTGTCTAGCTAGGACCATCACACTCCCCATGACACACAATAGAGAATAGCACATACCCAAACATGAATCAAAATTTTGGGATCATACACTACTTTATTTGTGTGAGGAAACAGCTGCCAGCGAATGTATTTCCGGTTGGGGAAGTTAACTTCACTCATTTACCAGCATGTAGATAAAGGTTGATGTAGCCAACCAAATTAAAATCGCGATGTTAGGTGTAGAAAAAGCGACTAGGGTTGTAGCCGACCCCCTCCTTCTCTTGGTTTAGTATATTTTTGTTCTATTTCGCAAAGTATGGAATCTTGCTCTGGTGATGTCTTGGCTTTTTGGCCTTGTGTTAAAGAAAGCCTTTTACAAGAATGATACCCAGCTCTGATGATGTCTATCATATGATGGACGGAAGCTCAGCATGTTTACACCCGAAACGAGGGAGCAAGTCCCGTGGACTACGTCAACATGAATATCGTATGAAATCTAAATGGCTGCAGTACAACGAGATTCATCCGTCCTCATCAGATGAGATTGACCAACCAATCTCTTCTTCATGCACTTTCATACGAAATGACGGTCCCCCTAACATTGATGATGTCTGTCACGGGGGTACAGTTGAAAGCTTAGCACAGTTTTGTCGGGATCGCAGGGCGGCGAGGCGAGGATTTCTTCGTACAATTCAACAGTCGTTCTTACACGACGATACTCCTACGGTTTGCAGTGAGACTACATCACGAATTCTTTCCAACCAACTTTCCCTTCGAAATGGCGAGTCATGCCACAATACTCTTTGACGATGCCAGCGTAACGTCTGAGAATGTTTCAAGTACAAGGTCCGAAGCTGGGAATGATGATAGCTACTACAGCAGAGGACATCAATCGAGGGGTGTCTAGCCAAGTCCCCCTGACAGCACGTCCAAGTTGCTAAAACGAGATCCGACCACCTCTATACATTATAAAGAAGATGCGACCAAAATAGAGGTCACAATTTTAGAGTCAATGGAAATGTGTATCTATCGCGCCTTTGCCAAGATTTGGTCCATCACAGACAAATGGCTTATTTTCAGCTCCTAGTTTCTAAGTGCTGCAAGGGTCCAGGAGACAGTAGTCTAATCAGTAGTCTGTGAGCCTGGCTACATCACCGCGTGGAGGGAGCTACCGCTTTGTTATCTGAGATCCAGTTGCCAACCGAGAAGCATTCAAGCTAAGTCTAGTTATTACAACCAGAAGATCCTCACTTTCGCAGTTGCAAACAATGTGCTTTCAGCAGCACCTTTCAGTCGTGGCGACTCGCGACTTGTCCTGTCGAGAGCACATCTGCCTAGGCTCAGTCCCTCCTTCCTGGATCTTGACTTTTGAACTGACGTCGACGAACACTGGCGATCCTGAGCATTATCCCATGCATCATTTGCTCCATTCAACCATCTTGTTATAACAGGTTCCGTTTAACTGAGATATGATGAACTCAACATTGCATTTGCATGTAATTTGCTTTGTTTGTCCACCTGCTTCACTGGAGAGGGGAGGTTGCTTTGTAATTTGAGGTAACCCTCTCAAGATCACTTCACCATATTTTTCGGAACTAGGTTCTGCAGCACTAAGGAGATCCTACATAAACTTCTCAAATGTACCATTCAGCCATGCTTCTTCCTGTTTTGCTTTTCCAAGTCAATTATTTATCTTTAATCAATTATATCTCATCTTTGTGTGCACTAATGCAAAATTTACATTGACCTGCTACTTCTAAGAGGGTTAGCTTGCTTTTTAAGACGGCAGATTATTCTCTTCTGGTTGTGACGTATAGATTCTTTTTTTGTGAGTTCTGAACAGTTTCGAGTTTGCTTAAGAAGAATCGGAGTTTAGTGCACGATTCTAGGTGCATCATTCAGATGCGAGAGATTGACAAACCCGCAAATATCATGCCTTGTCCTATTTAGCATATGGAAAGTGAAAAAAGATTATTATCCTTTAAAATAAATTATATTTGCACCCATTGTTTCACATTACATGAAACAACTTGCTTTGCCCTAGCCCCTAGATGCAAGCATGTCTGTAAAAGTATTTCCGACATCTCTTGACTTGCCGATTTGATCATTTTGCTTGAAGTTAACTGGTGAAAGGAATATACAATATTCTTGCTGCTTAGTTAGGCTAATAAAAATTGTCAATTTGCACTAGTATGAATGCTTCCCAGTCTTGCGTATGG